CCCCATCTTTGGGCCTCCGAGGGCACCAGGCACACACAGGCAAAACATTCATCCACATAAAAATAAAATAAATCTTTTTAAAACTATCAAAATACAAATGTTGAAGATTTGTTTGAAATCCTTATTTTATTTTTATGTGGATGAGTGTTTTGCCTGCCTGTATGTCTGGGCACTACTTGTATACAGTGCCTGAGGAGGCCAGAAGACGGCATTGGATCCCTTAGAACTGGAGTTAAAAATGTGAGCCACTGTGTGGGTGCTGGGAAATCGAAATTGGGTCCTCTGGAAGAGCAGGCCAGCCAGTGCTTCTGAGTGCTGAGTTATCTCTCCAGCTCCTCCAAGATTTTCATTTTTTTTTTTTCCGAGACAGGGTTTCTCTGTCCACAGAGAAACTGTGTACAGCCCTGGCTATCATGGCTTTATAGACCAAGCTGGTTCAGAACTCACAGAGATCCTCCTGTCTTTGCCTCCCGAGTGTGTGCACCACCACACCCAGGCTCTCAAATATTTTTTAAGATTTTATTGATTTTTGTGTGTATGCAGATAGGGCATAGAAATTCAACACCAGTGTTTACAGATAGAGGCCTTTACCCCGTGCAGGAGGCACACTCTGTCAGCAGTGTATTGTGGGAAAGCAAAAATCTGTGCTTGTTTCAAGTGACTCCATAGGTCATCCCTTCATTTACCTTGCAAACCTTTGCTTCTTTGAATATCAGAAGGGGGTCTGTGGAATGGCCCAGTCACACACAGCGTAGGCAGATTGATGGTAGATGACTTAAATGTAGCACACTGCGCCTCGTGCCCTTGGCTCAGCTATGGGCAGACACAAAAGAGCCCAAGGAGGTTAATTGACTTGGAGTGTCTCAGCTAAGAGAGACTGAGCTGAGGTCTGGACTTCTCCACTCTCCTCAAACAACCTGTCTGGCCCAGAGGAGTTCAGTGTCAAAGTGAAGGATGAGAGAATGTGGCTAGTCTGCCTGGTAGAAGTCCATCGTCTCAGGACTGACCACCAGGACCATTACCGTTGAGGACAGAAGCCCAGGAGAACTGAGCTTTTGGAATGTATGTGTTGCAAAAAAAAGCGTATAATTTTCTGGGACTTTTTTTTTTAGGCACTAAGACACCTGAGGACCCCTGAGTTTAAACCCTATGTTATATTTGTGAAGCCTGCAGTTCAGGAGAAAAGGAAGACGCCTCCTGTGACCCCAGACTCTGAGGACACAGCAGCTCCGCTTGTAAGTTTCAGGTTGATCTTGACCGTTTCTCCTTTGAAGGGGTACACCTAGCTGACTATGGATACTCCGAGGAAGAGGGACAGAGGGCATACCTTCTGCATAAGGCTATCTTTCCCTTTTATAAGACTAAGAAAAGATGATCACATGGCCAGAAGGTTCAAGGTGGGTGGGGACCATGCCTTCTAATCCAGGCAGGGTATCTTTGCCTGGACTCGCCACCCTCTATAACCTCATGTCAACATCCTCCCCTAAAAGGGAACTGATAGCTGTCAGGGGCCCTGTGTGAGTGCAACGGACCACACTGGGCTGTTGAATTTCTGAGTCAAACCCAAGTGTTGCATGTGTGTATGGAGTGTGTATGTGCAAGTCATATGTGCAGGGTGTATGTGTGTGCATGTACACAAGTGTAAGTATGGAGGTCAGAGGTCAGCTTTAGGTGTCTTTCTTCAGGAGTTGCCACCTTGGTGTTTTTGTTTTGTTCTACTAATGTGTGTGTGTGTGTGTGTGTGTGTGTGTGTGTGTGTGTGCGCTTGCGCACACGTGCATACTCTTGCTTGTAACAGTGGACAAAACGGGACTGAAGGTCCAGGGGCTGTATGGAGACACTTCAGAGGGCTTCTGAGTGTGCAAGTAGCCCTGGAAGAGAGATTGTAAAGCACCTCCCTGAGGAACCTGGGTTTTTCCCTCTTGACAGATAGAAGAAATGAGCTCAGTATATTCTTAGGTTTCCAGCATTTAAATTAAAAAAAAAAAAAAAAAAAGTCTGGGCCTTCGTCACTCATCCCGGAAATTACTGATGCCCACAGAAAAGTGGCAGAAAGAATTTTGGAAGTAGGTCTCCATGGAGGAGGCTAGGATTCCACCCTCCCATATGGCAGTGTGAAAACAGGTCCCTAGAAGCAGAGAAGGCAACAGAGGACTGCAGAGGGACAGAAAGGGATGTAGGTGAAGCCAGCGACAGATTCGATGTTGTGTTTTCTCGAGTAGACCTGCCCCCTTTCTCCACGAAGCAGGCTCGTTGTCTGCGCTACACAATTGAAATTCCAAATCCTAGGGACTCTGCATGAAGCACCACCAGGCTGGGTAAGGCAGAGTTTTGTGTAGATCTTAGTGCTAGGGTTGGAAAGGCAATGAGGTGCCCTAGGAAATGGGGAATTTGAGCAGAGTTGTCCCAAGGCTCTCTTAAGTCATTCTTCTTCCTTCTCTAGCCTGCTAACTCAGCCCTGGTGTAAAACAAAGAATCAATGGCTCCTTATGAATGGAAAAGTCAACACAGAGGATGCTTATAAGTGTCTGTGGGGGGCGGGGTGCTGAGGCCAGAGGCTGAGGTCAGCCATCTTCCCCTCTCCCTTCTCCATCCGATTTTTGAGGCAGGGTCTTGCTGAAACTGGGGCTTGCCATTTTGGCTAGTCTGGGCTGGCCAGCAAGCCCCTGGGGTTTACCTGTCTCTGCCTGACCCTGTTCTGTCTGGTGTTGGGGTTGTAGATGCGCACCCACCCAGCTTCTACACGGGTGTGTGATATCTGAACTTGGGTCCTCATCCTTGCGTGGCAGACACTCTACCTAATGAGCCATCTTTTCAGCCCCTCTTCTTTGTGTGTGTGATGCTTAGGATTGATCCCCAGGCCTCACATACATTAGGCAAGTGGTCTGCCACTAGTCAACAGACCTCTATTTTTTGGATACAGGGTCTTGCTTTGTAGCCCAGGCTGGATTGGAACTCATGATCCTCTTGCCTTAGCCTCCTAAGTACTAGGATTACAGGTGTGCACCGCCACAGCCAACTCCACACCTCTTTGGAAACATTTTTGGGTCAGTCAGGAATATGATGCTGACATTTATACACAGATATAGCAAGGCACCCCGAAACAATGGTTCTCAGTTCGGAGGTCCTCGGGATATTTTGTAAGTGAATGATTGTGTCTGTTGCCCATTGATTTCCTTCTGTGTGATATGCTTCTACTACTACACGCTACTCTCATGCTCACGGTTAAGGTTATCTATAGGACACAGGCATCCATTTGGCACATTAAATAAATGCAGGTTCTGACAGGGGAGTGTTCCCCCAGACTCCATACTGTCTCTTTCCTTGCAGGATGAACAGCAGCAAGAGATGGCCGCCTCTGCCACCTTCATCGATCAGCACTATGGGCACCTGATAGACACTGTGCTTGTGAGGGAGGACCTGCAGAGCATCTGCAGCCAGCTCAGAGCTGTCATAGAGAAGCTGAGCAAGGACACTTACTGGGTACCCATCGGCTGGGTGAGGTAACTTCATCCTGTAGCATCCAGTCTGGAGGGACCTCGAAGACCACATTGTCCAGCCTCCCTCATGTATTGTCAAGGAATCTCGAGTACAGAGAGGGGCAGGATTTCCCACAAACTCTCGTCACTGAGTTTTAGTGGGAAGCCTTGTTTGGTGTTGGATTTTTGTCTGTCTTTTTGCACTGCACCCCTTCGTGGGCTGAGTTGAAAGGGGGCGGTTCACAGGACAACATGTCGTTCATTAAAGTCTCGCAGGCAAGTTGGCCTTGATTCTTTGTACCAAAGCTATGAAGCCACTGTCTTTGGGGGTGGTGGTGGTGAATTTATAGAGTGATTTACAGTGATGTTTCAGCTTTATAAATGTGACACTTCTCTGGTCCAGCTTTGTTGGAAATTGTTCTCCCCGAGGGGATCTTCTGTGCAAATGAAGACCTGTCTTGCAGCACTGAAATATTACTTCAAAAAAAAAAAAAAAAAGGTTGTTTTGATCGTGCTTGCCGGGTGGTAGGGAAATTGATTCCCTGACTTTTCACGTAGTACACATACATGATGTTTTTCCTGCAAGACAGAGGCACACTTAACAGTCCGCATGGCTCACTAGACTATTCTACAATGCAGCAGTGCCTTCGGGGACTCTTGAGGAATGTCGGGCTGCCGGTCCCCTTTCTGAATACCCCCATGCCCCTGAAAGTGAGTCCTTGCTGTGTCTGTCCTATACTATCAGTTGTCCGTCATTACGCCTTGGTTCTAGGCTGACTCCATTTTCAGATTTGGGCTCCTGTTGTGCTAGATTGTGGGGAATCAGATGACCCCCCCCCATCTGTCAAAGCTGTGTCTAAGCCACAATAAATGAGTCCTGTGAAAAGTATATAGACTCAGAGTGCGGGTCTGTCGTGGTGTCTCTAAGCAGCAGTGATTTCTCAAGGGACTGTGACAGGTCATAGCAGCTCAGAGAATTTTACTTCTGATGAGCTACCAGCTACGTAAGTTCTGTGCTGGCTGTGATGCTGAGGAGTCTTGTGCATTATCTTCATAAATACACGAAGCCGATGACACAGCAATGTTACCGTTCATTCCCATTTTACAATTGAGGGGAAAAAAATGAGACTTAAGAGATTTGAAATCAAGTGTCCAGGTTTATACAGCTGAAAGACAGTACCAGGCTGAGGAAGCGTGTCCATACATAAAAGTGCTTATCATGCATGCCTAAGGACTTGAGTTCAAATCCCCAGAACCCACATAAAAGCCTCATTTGTAGTGTGTATTCATAACTGCAGTACTTCAGTCACGAGATAGGGAGCGGAAACAGGAGACTCTGGAAACTTTTCATCTGACTAGTCAGCACTTACATACCTACACACACACACATACACACACACATTGTGCACTTACACACATACCTGCACGTGCATAATGGTACAGCTGTATATATTTGAGCCTCAAAATTCCTCACACAAGATACGATCTTTAACCACTATGCCACACTGCCTCCTGCTTTTATGGGTCTATAGTGGAGCCTCCCTAATGAAATGACTGACTTGTGAGGAGTATATTCATAGCTGAAATAGTGTGCAGTGTGCTTATAACTTCTAGGACTAAAAGGATGCAGTTTTTACATGTGCAAGATGCCTTATCCCTACAATAGGCCAGGCCAACAGTGAAGTAGCAGGTAGGCCGTTTGCCGCCCATCTGCAAAATTCCAGCTAACTTTCTTGCACAAGAACTCTTGCAACTCTTTGGCTTACCACCAGGTAATCCACCGATCTCTTTTGTAGGACTTTCCAGCAAAAGAGCAGGTCCTTCTTATTGGATTTTTAGCAAGCGAAATAGCGACTTAACTCTTTCTCAGAAATCCAGGCCAGTGGGCAGCGGTGAGGTGGAACTGCCTCCTGAAGGATGGAGAACTGGAATCTTGAGTCCACTCCCAGGTAGATGACACTTTAGGAAGAGCGCATTCCTGGCCATCTCACATCTGCAGCATGGTGGAGACCTTACCTGGTTACAGTTCGATGTAGGTGACTTGCCCTCCAGTGTTGAGCACTGGGTGACTTTAAAAAAATTCATGTCATAATAAAAAGTCATTTTCTGCTTACTCCGTATTTTTAGCCAGTTCTCAGATGAGGTGGTAGAACTCAGTGTGGATTTTGAGGTAAGGCATGAAAATGGGCTTGGTTTATTTGCAATTAAAGTACCTTCCCTTCTCCCAGGACAAGTTATGTTCACAACTGTTTGTCTGCTATGAGATCCGTGGGAGCTGAGAGGATAGGGTCCCAGGGACAGGTGTCATCTGGAAGGCATGTTTTTGCTGTTTATACAAAGCAGAGAATGTTGTTACAAAATAAATAAATAAATAAATGTAATAGTTTGCAAATACGTATTGGTGGAGTGTGTGTAAATGCAAATCCAAGTCCAACCTAACCTGCAGTATGTGTGTTCAGAGCCCCCAGCAAAAAGGTTGGCAAAAGTTCCTCACTCCTAACCTGCACACCAGTACAGCTCTATCTATGCCTCTCAAGAATAAATGTTTCATTCCTTGGGTCTTTAAACACAGTTAAGTCCTTGGTCTGTGTCTATAACTATAGAAAATGTGAGCTCTAGAGGACTTTTCAAGATCAAGAATGTTAAATGGATCCTATACATGTTGCTACTGCCCATCCTGCCCCCGTGGCAGACATCACTCATCAATTACAGAACTCATCTGCCTTTGGCTCTTTCAACATAGTTCTCAGTATCAGTGCATGCCGTCCTTGATCCAGTGGTGAGTAGCCTGCCCTGCCTCCCAGCCCATTCCTTGCAAAAGAGAGATTTGAGGTTATAACCCCCTGCCAATGACAGCTCAGATGTGTTTAACCTCAGCCAATAGTGCCTTTATTATTATATGTATATCTCCAGTGCTTTACAGCATGTGGGCATTTAAACTGTGCGGGTACTTATCTAGTGCCACACCTGCCTTCTGTGCCACCAGCCACAGGATCAGGTGTCCAAGCAGTGATTCAATTATTTTTGCTTGCGTTGTGTGGTGTGTGTGTGGGGGGGTCTTTTGCCTTCGCATAAGTCTGTGTACCATGTGGGTGCTGGGATCCGATCTGGGTCTCTGGAAGAGCAGCCAGTGCTCGTAACTACTGAGTCATCTCTCCAGCTCCTGGTTTGCTCTTTTGAGGATAGATTTTAATAGGCTGGCCTCACCCCACCGGGCTTTGAATTCACGATCCTCCTGCCTCTGCCTCCTAAGTACTGGGATTACAGGCATAACAATGACAGCTCTTGATACGTTTAACAGTTACAAACTTCAGCATTCATATAAAGTCCGTTTGGGGATCAGACAGTTAAGAACCAATCAGCTGCATTTGTTTGGTGGATTGATCCACCCCTTCCTTTTCTCTGCCCTTTGAATATATTCTTTAAGCCTCAATTCCTTTAGTTAGGCCAGTGGTTTTAGGACAAGGCGGTATGGAGTCATTTTCATTTTTTCTTCCTCCACTACATAGAGTTAAACTTCTTGCATAAAGGAAGTCTGAGAACCGTAAAACCCGCCTAGGAACAGACTTGGAGTCTCTGGCAATGTGGTGGGTCCCCTGCACTTCCTCTGTGTCCCTCATAGCCTAGAGACTGGGCTATGGAGAGGCCTTACACAGAACCAACCTCAGGCAAAGACAAAAAAAAAATAAATGAGAAAATGAACGCTTGCTTCCCCAGGAGAAGAGAAGTCCATTAGAGTACAAGGCAGGAGGCCCCGCCGCCTTCGGGCCCGATAGCCCAAGGTCCTGGGTGGAGCAAATGTCTTTCTCTACAACATCCTAAGCAAGGAAAGACAGCCCTTGGCTTGCAGTTATGCCGACACTGTGCACACAGTGATATCAGTAATTAGTTCCCCCGAAACAAAAGGAAAAATAGAAAACCTGAGTGATGAGACAGACCTGAAAGAGAACCCATCAAAAGTCATGGAAGTAGGGAAGCGAGACAGCTCACTGAGTAAAGGCGCTTACCTCTGGAGCCCGGTGCCCACTGGAGTCCGGTGTCCTCTCTGGAGCCAGTGTCCTCCTCTGGAGCCAGTACCTTCTGGAGCCCAGTGCCCTCCCGAGCCCGGTGTCCTCTGGAGCCCGGGGCCCTCTCTAGAGCCCGGTGTCCTCTGGAGCCCGGGGCCCTCTGGAGCCAGTGCCCTCTGAAGCCCAGTGCCAAGATGTTAGGAGAGATGTCGCCACAGAGATGTCCTCTCTTTACACTTATGCCATGGTGCATGCCCTAAATGCATGGTACATAGATACATGGATACACGCACTCACACACTAATTATAATTTTTTTAAGTAATGGGAGCAAAAAATACAAAGCGAAACTTAAAACTTGGGTGAACTCAAAAGTGTGATATTTATTGTGTCAGAGTCCCAGCAGGTGACGACAAAGGTCAAGACAGTCATATGCAGAGAAACGGTGGCTGAACCAACACCCCTCCTGCCTCCCATTCTGGAGAAAGACAGCCTACAGTTCAAGAAGTAGACCGAATCAAATTTCAAGCATGAGTTGGGAGCCCTTCCACGTCCTATTTAATCTCCTAGAAACCGAAGATTGAGGGGGAAGAATACCAACCTTAAGAACAGCAGAAAATAGCCAGAAAGGAAAGTAATTCAGGTTCTATTTCTGCATCGGGAAGAAGTGGCAAGCACGTCACAATCCGAGGACAAAGAACTATTAATGCTGAAGCCCGCCATCGTGAGACTATCTTAGGAAGGAGGGGGATGAACAGTGTTCCCAGAGGAGGGACACAAAATTGTGGAGACCTGCTCCAAAAGCAGCTCTAAACAAAAACGTGAACAGAGGAAGGAGCGGAACGTCCAGAAGGGATGAGCCAAAGAGCTAGAACAGACCCACACCTTTTCAGCTTCTTTACCCCACACTAGCTGGGCAAAACAAAGTAACCATCTTCTGTGGTGCTGGATATTCATGCAGAAACCACTTTTGCATTTTATGACTTGGGGGGGCATTTTCGAGACAGGGTTTCTCTGTGTAGGCCTGACTGTCCTGGAGCTCACTCTATAGACCAGGCTGGCCTCAAACTCAGAGATACGCCTACCTCTGCCTCCCCAGTGCTGGGAGTGAAGGCATTTGCTACCACACCTGGCTCATTTTTGTATTTTAAAAGGAATGAGGAGGGCCTGAGAAGATGGCTCAGCGGCTAATGTACTTGCCATGCAAAGCTGAAGACCTGGGTTCAAATCCCCAGAGCCCAAATAAAGTTGGCATGGTAGCTTGTGTCTGTAATTCCAGCCTACTGGTGGGCAGAGACAAGAGAATTCCCAAATGCTCAAGGGTAGGTTAGTCTGGTACACACAACAGCTAACGACAAAAAGACCCTGTCTCCAACAAGGTGGGAAAAGAGATCTGACACTTAGGTTGTCCTCTGACCCCAACACACACATCATTTAAGAAATAAAGAGGGCCAGGCAGTGGTGGTGCACACCTTTAATCCCAGCACTCAGGAGGCAGGGGCAGGTGGATCTCTGTGAGTTCCAGGCCTGGTCTACAGAGTGAGTTCCAGGACAGCCATGCCTCTGTAGAGAGACCCTGTCTCAAAATAAATAATAAACAAGCAAATAAATATAAATAAATGAATGAATGAATGAGAGTAGAGAAGAGTATTAAAACATGGATTTTTAAACAGCAGTGGTTATGATGATGTCCAATAAAGCAGACCAGAGGAAGACAATCACTAGCGACAAACAGAGGAGATTAAAAGAAGATAAATCAACATACCAAGAAGACACAGTGATCTTAAAGGAGTATGCACCCAAGGGGAGAGCTTCAAAACCTGTGACAGTGAAGTAAAAATGGACAGGACTGGGAACTGGGCCGTTAAGAGCGCTTGCTGCTCT